CCCCCCCTGCATCTACCGTGCCCACCGATGTAGCACCCTGTGATCTCCCCATGGGACCTACAGTATCAAAGCTCCCATAAGCAATAATTTCTCTCTTCCCTTCCCCGCCCTGCCCCGAGGACCCGCTCCCCGCCGAACCCCCAGGTAAGCCTCGGCCTCCTCCTCGGCCTCCTCTTCGCTCAGTTCCGACATGCTGCTGCCACCGCGTCGCAGCCGTCGCGATGGCAACCGGGCTCGCGCCTTGCCTTACCGTTATGGCCGGCGGGGGCGCGCCTGCTGTCCCGGGTGCTGAGGGCACGGCCCCGCTCCGCAGTAATACCAGCTGTATGGAAGAGACTTATTCAGCATTTTCATAAAATCATAAAATCAGAGAATCAGAAGATCAGAGAATAACAGAATCAAAAGATGGTTTGGGTCGGAAGGAACCTCACAGCCCACCCACCCCAACCCCAGCCATGGGCAGGGCTGCCCCCCACCAGCTCAGGCTGCCCAGGGCCCCATCCAACCTGGCCTTGAGTGCCTGCAGGGATGGGGCACCACAGCTTCTCTGGGCAGCTGTGCCAGCGCCTCACTGCCCTCTCAGTGAAAGATTTCCTCCAGCATCTAATCTAAATCTCTCCATCTAAGTTTAAAGACACTCTCCCTTGTCCCATCACTGTCTACCAGTGTAAAAAGTCACTCCCTCTTCTGCTTAAATGTTCCCTCCAAGTACTGGAACACTGCAATGAAGTCTCCCTGGAGCTCTCGCTTCTCCAGGCTGCTCAAGCCCAGTTCCTTCAGCCTGTCTCCACAGGAGAGGTGCTCCAGCCCTCTGATCTTCTTTGTGCCCTCGCCCAACAGCTCCACATTCTTCTTGTGCTGGGGTTCCCAGGCCTGGACGCAGTACTCCAGATGGGGCCTGATGAGGGCAGAGCAGAGGAAGATAATCCCCTCCTTCTCCCTGCTGGCCACCCCTCTTGTGATGCAGCCCAGTTTACCACTGGATGTCGAGGCTGCAAGAACATGCTTCTGGCTCATGTTATGTTTTTCATCCACCCTAAGTCTCTTTCAGCAGGGTTGATCTCAAGGAATTATTGTCCTAGTGTGTACACACATCTTGCATTGCCCTGACCCAGCTGCAACACTTTGCACTTGGCCTTGTTGGACCTCATTAGGTTCACATGGAGCCACCTTTTAAGTGTACCAAGGTCCCTCTGGATGGGACCCATTCCTTCTATTGTATCAAATGCACCACTCAGCTTGGTGTTATCCACAAACTTGCTGAGGGTGTGCTCAATCCCACTGCCTATGTCACTGATAACGATATTAAAGAATACTGGTCCCAGGATGTACACCTGGGTGACACTACTCATTACCAACTCCACTTGGACATTTCACTATGTTTCATACGTGAGATGCAGTATGCTAGATCAATCATTCTCATAAATTATTTTATTTACCACTATGCAGAGCAATCCTTTGTTATTCTTCAGGTAAATACTCTAGAAACCTTCCCTGGCTAAGGAAGTTACTAGTCATTAAAGAAGTTACTGGTCAATAAGGGAGTTACTGGTCACTTCGCCATAGCTCATGCATGCTTGCAGATGTTGTGGGCAGGTTGCCTTGCTAAAAGCAAGGAGTACTCTGCTTCTCTTTGGCAGCACTTATGCCTGCTTCAAAGTGCTTACAGGCAAGGACTAGGGGCCTGCCAGTGACACAGAATGCTGCTTGAGCAGGGAGTGGACCAAAGAGTCTCCAAAGCTCCCTTCTCACCACAGTCTCCATGTGATGGTGTGGGGCAGCATACTACCTTGCTATTACATTGTGTCGTAACGTAATGGCTGAGGTTTCACAAGAGGAGTCGTGTGAGGTTATGCAGGGTGAAAAGCAGCAAACTGAGTGCTGGGCAGAGGTGGTGAGGGCCCGGGGCAGGCAGCAAAAGGAGGTGTAACTGTTTGGAAAGTGTGGCAGAGGTCACCTTGTCATCTAGGTCAAAGTTCTTCCACCCAAACCAGGAGAAAAACAGGATCTCTGTACAAAGATAAGCTGCGTGTACTGGTCATTTTGTTGTTCTCATAAGTAGAAATCGAAAGAGCCAGTATTGAGTTGTCACTTTTTAGCATGCGTCTCTTTGTTTGTCATTTTTGTAAAGATGAAAAAGGAAGAGAGCTATTGTTAAATACATCCTGTTCTTAGCTAATAGGAACCCTTGGGCTCCTCAGTTAGCCCTGTCATTACTTTGAGAGTGGTCTCTGTCTGAAATATTTAAGAATGCTGAAATTACATTTTGTTAGCTGGCAGAGCATTATGCAGCTATACATTTATTAACACAAAACTATGTGGTTATTTCTCTTTCATGCAGAGTGCCAGCATTTGACAACGGAAGTCTGATTTGCATAATGACTGCCCTGTTAATAAGTAGCTGCAGAGTATGAAAACTACTGCTACAACTGCTTGCCTCCTGCAGAATTTGATCTGAGTACACTTCTTCAGAGCAACAGCATTTCCTCTTTTATCACTCTTGATGATGCTTACCTCTCTTCTTTCAACTAAGGTAGGCTACATGCCTTTATCTACAATAAGGCAATGTCTCTAACTATAAAAACACTTACTAAGACTATGAGTGGCACATTAATTGTAAGCAGACACCATGGCTCAGAGCAGTGAGGGAGAGTATTTTTGGCATGTATTCAGAGGTAATCCCAGTTCAGCTCAATGACAAAAATAACTGGATGTTTTAGCTTCAAAGTTCACGTGGCCAAGGGGACAGCTGGAACAGACACAGAAAGAAATGACAAGCTATCACATATATCTCCTTCAATATTGCTAACTTCTTTCTGGGTAGCTGGTTTCAAAGTCCTGAAGGAAGAAAGGGTCTGAGGGAGGAACAATTCAGTTTGCTTGGAGAACAGCCAAGAACTTTCTTTATAATATTTAAATTTACTTTGAACTTTGAAATGGCAGGTATCATGGGTATCTGTAAGTTGGAATCACTAAGTTTGACCTCAGTTAAATGTGTAATGCCTGCTTTTAAATTTTCTATAGCTAGAAGCTGTCCTGTGAGGATGAGATTATGTTTTTTGAGAGGTATGTGAAGAACAGACATTAAACTGTGGGGAAATACTTCATTATTTCATTAAAAAAAATAATTCATTAACATCTTTTTCTTTATGCAAGCTAAAGACACAGGCTGATACGCTGCATGGTCAGTACCACATACTAGCAAAATTTAACCTGGAGTTATCAGAAAGATCAGTATCTTCCTCCTGAAATTGAAATATAAAGCAGGTTGTCTTTAGAGTAAATTGTGGGATTAAAGAATTAAAATAATATCTAAAAGGAAGTTCTTGTTTTGGAATATACCTTTCAGGTCTTTTTATTATACTGCTATAAGTGCTATCAGACACTTAAAGGATTCAAAATACTCTGACCAGAATGTTTTCTTAGGTTCTGAAAGCAAAGGATGGATGAAATGGAATTTACTGTGGGGTTTATTTCCCCTCCAATTCAGAATGAAGCCAGATTTTGAAATGTCAAAATCTTTCGCAGAATGGCAACTCCTCTCTGCATGTTTTAAGCCCTTCACAGGCAAAATAAAAGCTGCTTAGTCTGTTTGCATGCCAAGTAAAGATAACCTCTTTTTGAGCTCATAAGGAAGCCAGAAAAACAAGTGAATGACCTTCCCATTCTCCCTGCTAGGCCACAACTGCCACCTTCAACTGTGATTAGTATCAGGATGCTCTGAAAGCCAGATGATTAGGAAAGAAATGGTTGTAGGAAAGCTGTTCTGGAAATACTGGTTGGACTTCTTTTAGTCTTGGCTAAAATTAACCCTTCAGTTTTCTCCTGCAAAGTGGCCAAGGAAGAATGCTGTATTGTATTTATACTTTGCTTTCCATTCCTCTGACCTTACTTCTAATTTTGAAGCACAGAGCACAGTTTATTCTTCTGACAAATGGGAAAATTTTAAAGCTTTTCTTCAGGTTTTTCTTTCTACTAAAGTGCAATTGGAACATATATATGTCGCTGCTATTCCATGCAGGAATCACTGCTAATGGCTTTCCCCAAGGCTTTTATGACAGTCAGCATTACCATTGCTACAAAGAAAGCAGTTAGCATTCATAAAGTAAAAAATACCTTAGGGTCAGTGTTAACAAAGCAATGTCAATATTTTTTGTTTGTTGTTTGTTTTGTTTTCCTGCAAGTGGATTTTGTTTATTTAAGGACATAAACAAACAAACCAAACCAACCAAGCAAAAAACAAATAATATTCCAAACCTTAGCTTCTCCCTTTATGTGCAGTTTATAATGACATAAAGATAAAGCAGCACAGTCCTTTTCTTTTTTTCTTTTTTTCTTTTTTTTCCATAACATCTGAAGTTCCAATCTCAGAATGAATTCAACAGAGAAGAATGAAATGATTGAGGTAGACGGGACTACTTTGCTGCCTTCTCATTCCCATCAGCTCACATAACTTCATACCTCACCTTCTTACTCATGACTAGCAAGGCAATTGCTTTAGCATAGGCTCTCTATTCTGGTATGCTTTCTATTTGTAACTGTTCTGGTATTTCGTTTCTATTTAAAAATGTCACAGCACTCCCTCTTCATATGATTGCTTTTCGGCAACCAAGTCTGCCTGGTTTAATCTGTCTGCTCCTCTGAAATTGTTTCTGAC